GTTAATGTAAGGCTGTACGTGTGTATCTTCTATGTTAATGTAAGGCTATACGTGCGTATGTATTACAGGTCGGCGATGGTGTGTGTGTTGGCTCGTCTCCTATTTGCTCTCATCCTGACTGAGACGTCGGCCTCGCCGTCAGCTTCAGGTAAAAATCAACAAAACAAACAATCGGATGGAAGACATGAACGTGCTGACAGTCCTATTTAATGTGTTTCAATACTTTTTATTGAATAATGCGTCAGTAGAGACGGAGCAGGCCTCTCCGTGCTCACCTCGGTGGCTCCTGTTTGGGCAGAGATGCTTTGCTTTCTACCCTGTTTGGAGCTCTTGGACCAACGCTGATGTAAAGTGAAATCAAACACATTTGAATTCATTAATTCATAACACATGAATATTCATTATGGTTTAACGTGTGTGTGTGTGTGTGTGTTAGTTGATGTGCTCTCAGAAAGGAGGTCACCTGGCATCTCTTCACACACCAGAGGAGAGGCAGTTTGTCCGTCAGCTAGCAAACACACACCTTCCGGTGTGGCTGGGTGGACGTCAAGCACAACAGGTAAACCTATGAGTATTTATAATTTATGTATAATATGAGTATTTATAACCACGCCAGTGAGGAAACAATTGTATTTAAACACAAACAATGTTCCTCCTAACAACGGCCCTGTGGTTGTTTGCTGTCGCTGTGTGCAGCGATGGAGGAAGGTAATATTTGATGGTGTCTGTGTATTATATCTGTTTGTATCGGGAGCTCACCTCAGGGAGACCACGGGTGGATTACTGTGCATTAGTGTGGCAGACAGTGTGGGGAGTCATCTCATATTATACAGTCACCTGTAAAGCGAAACCTAATTAGCCTTGAGGCGAGTAAAGAACACGATCTTCTCCCACACCCAGATTGTGACTACAGCTGCGGGGAGTAGTCTCTATGGAGTCAGGACCGTAATTCAACCCAACAGAATGGTACCAGGGATTAAATTACGGTATTCTACAGTAGAATGTGAGGTTATGTATAGTGTATATACATTTATATATACAGTAACTACAGTTGTCAGATAAATGTATGTAGTGAAATATAAAAGCACTCTATTTCCCTCTGTGATGTATTAGAAGTATACTCTTAAAGAATGTTTTTCCTCTCTGAAGAATGGCTCTTGTTTCTGGAGCGACGACTCCCCCTTCAGGATCAGCGGTTGGACCAATCAGAGGCAGGGAAAGGCCGGAGAGGGCGGGACTTGCATGGCAATTAAACCAAAAAGTAAATAAGGAAAAAAACACACATGGAATGAATGGATTATTATTGTTAATAGATGGATTGTTATAGGATAGCAACAGTTTTGGAGGCAGTTTTGTTGTTGTTTGTATTTCAAAATACTTAATTATTGCTCCAAAAAAACTGAACGTAAATGAAATGCTGTATTAAAAACAGTAATGTGTGTGTCATGTGTTCAGGTGGAGAGCTGGGCAGCGCCCCCTGTGGTGATCTCAGGTTCTACGTCTGCTCCACTAGAGCCAGGTGAGCTCACAGTTAAAGGTAACATCTGATCCATGGATTAACGGCGGAGTATCAGAACCTTTGTAGGCAACGTATCCTCAAACAACGGCTTCTAGCTACTACGTATTTTTTGCGTGACGGAGCCGGAGAAGAGGGGCAATATTTAAAGAAAAGAAACTATGAATTTACAAGAAAAAAACTGGGATATTCTGAGATTAAAGTAGTAAATTTACTCGAAAGAAATCCTAAAAAATAGTGTTTTTTCTACTTTAGTTTAGGATGTTTTTACTTGTAACTTTACCGCTATAATCTGGGATATTCTGAGTTTCTTCTCTAAATATGACCTCCCTCTCTTTTATTATCATTATTTAAATCCAGTGAACGTTCTGAAATGCAAACGTGTGAATAATAAGGTGTAAAGTCCTGATGACTCACCTCGTGTGTCGGAACCAGTAGAAACAGTGAATCCATTTATTGTGTTTACCCGTTTCTCATCTTGTCTGCAGTTCAAACAAATCCTCCGCCGACGGGGAACCAGTTGAGCCAGGTGACAGATTACTGCTTGTTACTCTCACACTATTCACTGTTCACAGTTAAAAGATACTTTATACTTCTCCTCCAATACCTCAGAGGTACATATTGTACTTTTTACTGTACTACATCTCAGAGGTACTTTGAATACTTCCTCCCTGCCTTCTGTCTCTCAGGCATCGTGGCCGGTGGGAGTCTGTTTGATGTTGTGTGGAGTTACAGCGACCCGCTGGCGGAGGAGATCCTCCACTCGTCCTCCGTCCTCAGAGGTCTCCGGTCCGGTCGTCTCACACAGAGCTGCTACGACAGCTTCATCCAGCAGGAGGCGCTCTACCTGCACAGAGTCAGCAGCACACTGCAGGTCAGCGGCCATACTTATGTCTGTCTTTCTATCCTTTCATCTGTTTTCATCCCTTTCTCTCTACTAAATAATCCTCTGTCTTATTTCTGTGATGATTCTATGTACTTTGTTTTTAAAGGACTTCTCTCACAGCTTTTCAAACTTTTAAATGGCTACAAAGTATTTTCTTCTGTTTTCTTTTTTGTGAATTGATTTTAATGAACCGGTGTGACTTGATGACGTCAGGTCCTGATGAGCGGTTTACTGGAAGCAGACGACGTGACGTCACTGCTGCTGGACACACTCAAACAGTACAGCAGCAGCAACCAGGTGAGACCAACGTGTGTAAGATAAGATCAGATAATCATTTAAATTAGAGTGGATATATGCTGTATATTGTTGCGTTTTCTCTCTTCGGCAATACCCCAGTGGGCTACAGTTCTACAGTTTTTACTACTTATTTTACCCCTATTGCCCTTGTCCTGCCGCTTCTAGGATTTGAATAAATGAGAATGTTTCTTTGAGACGTACATTACTTAATCCCATGGGGTAACATCCTTTTCCTTCTTTTAGTTCCCACAGGGGGAATTTGTTTTTATCTGGCCAAGTTTGTTCAAAACTGAACGCATTTGGTCGTGTTATGGGTATGTGTTTTAATTGGGTATAATGGTCAGGCCAACGGTTCCCTTTGCCACATAGCCATAAGTGTAGGCCGTACTGGGTTGTGTTCTGGGCAGGGACATCCCTACAGTAGTGCAACGGCTGGTTTATGTACCACAGGTGATCACCCCAACATGAGTGCTCTTGCAGCAGTCACCGGGTACTCCTGAGTGGTCAAAGCAGCATAGGTGCCATCTCATTACTTGTTGTTTAAAACATAGATTGCACATAGTGACCTTTCTATCTCCCACTCCTTCCCTTGCCGGCCTGGAGACATCTGGCTGGCTCAGGGTGGGCCGAGCAGACCTTGGTCCTGCCCAAATAATGGTGTGATTTACACAGGAAACATGTGCCTGGTACATAGTCTTCCCATTTGAGGAACCCCCCTGGGGGCTCCTCTGGTTGGGCCAAACCTATCTTTATGCTACCCCCCACATCGCAGGAGAGGACACATGTGTACCTTCTTGTGACTGGGAGTCCTTTTGGCATGGACTCAGCCATGGGTGTTTAACGGTTGTTTGTCACTTCCCTTTCTGTGAAACATTTTACGTAATCGGGATCATCTGGGAGATATGCACGGGACCTTTATCTTTTAAGACTGTAATGTTATTAGATTACCCTTTGTTTCTTCTATCTGGTATTTACTTTGTTGGAGGAGTGTATGGGCTGTTTGCCTTGTTTAATTCCTCTATTCAGCCACACCCAACCGTCAACCTGCAAAGGAGACGGAGAGGTTTCATTAGGCGGGGTAGGCTTTCGGTCGAGTTTTGGCATAGACAAATTAAGAACCTCGGTTTGTCCCATTGTTTGGGGCAGTTTGCGTTTATGTATTCTTTTGCTGATCTAACAGCTCTTTCTGCTACACCGTTCGTTTTGGGTTTATAGGCACTCGACCATTCAGGTTCGACTGATAGTTGTAACAGTAATGTCTCTATGTTTTTATTCTTAAAGTGTGTCCCGTTATCCATTCATAGAGTAAGCAGGTTTTTACCTGTGAAGAAGACCGCCATCGCTGTGGCGATTGTTCTTCCGGTTGCTGTTTTTAAAGGAAATATCCTAGTATCTCATCCATTATCAGCTATTACCAGAAAGTAAAGGTTGCCTCGGGGCGTTCTTTGTGAAGAAGGTCCTGCAATGTCCGCAGAGTAGTGTACACCAGGAGTGTCAACCGCAATTGGAAGCATGGGACCACTAGCCCTTGGCATGCCGCATTTATCCGCGCAATTCGAGCACTCAGCTTTTATTTTCGCGAATCATTTATTGAACCTCGGATGTTTAATTCTTTGTTCAGTTAACCAATTTCTTGTCCGCTGTAACCCACAATGTCCCAGGCAATTATGTAATTTTAGTAGAACACCTTCAGCATGGTCATCTGGTACTGAGACACCTTTGTCGGTGTTCCATTCAGGTGGGAATACACAGGTTTTTCTGAATAGTACACTGGCCGCGAGAAATTCATCTTCCCTTTCTTGGGCCAGCGCATCAACCTCATTATTACCTTGTTCATCAGGGGTCTCTCCCTTAGTGTGACTGTTTACACTTGATGCAGGAAGCCGCAGATGAAGAAGCTCTTGCCGACTATAGGAGATAAAAAATGGGCCTGTTTCACTCCTACCTTGAAGTGTCTGAGCAGCTTTCCAGAAAAGGATAAAACAAAGCCACAGAAGGCAAACTAAAGTGCGACTGTTAAGTGCAGCAATGGTCTCGTCGTCAAAGTTTGATCACGCTGATGATCATGAATCAGAAGGCATTTAAAATACATAAAAAACACAGACGCACAGGTAACAGAGTCGCACATGTGACAGAGTCGCCAGCAAAGGGGGCGGCGCCTCAAAGCAGTTGAATTCACTTTGCTTTGGTATTTATGTGTTTTGCTAGTTTCCTGTGGCAGGATGTTGTGTACTAGTTAGGTCTTTCCACTTCAGGTAACAGGAAGAAGCTTATGGGCAGGATGTATGTCCTGTTCTAAATGCTGAGTATATGTGATATTGCTAATGCTTTGTATGTTGCATTGTTTCTAGCATATTTCTGACATGAGTTTACAACAGCTTTCATACAGTTTACTCAACAATATATATACATATATATGTATATATATATATGTATAGTGGATAGTGCCAAACAAAAGACATAGTAAAAAACAAGATCAAAACAAGTATTATAAATAAGTCATAAAACAGTAAAGAATAGTAAAAAAGTAAAAAATCCACAATAACTAAACACTATATATCCAGACAGAATAATTATAGTATTGCACAGTGTATTCATATTGCACACTCCTCTTCCCCCTTGTGGTGAAACCTGACCGGAGTGGTTTCTGAAGTGGTAGGAGGCAGACACGAGAGACTTTGTTCCGATAACAAAAAGGTGTTTTATTTACTAAAGTGCTCTGCTACACGTGTAACCACACATATATACAAACAAAACAAACGTTTAACTTAGCTTAACTGAATATAAGTCAACTCATCATAAAGTAACATAATCACGTGCACACAGCTACACACTGATCGTCTTTTCTCCCCTTGTTCAGTCAAAGTCATCTCCTTATATAGAGCCTCCTATCAGCAGGATTCAGTTCCTACCATGAGTGCAGGTGACACCAATTACTGACTCCACTAGTTAACAGACAAAAGCTCTACCTTACTGCACCCTTTTAGGTAACCAACAAGTTGATATGGTTTACGATGTGCTGTACACTCACAACAATGTAAAACAGATCACAACTAACCTACAAACCTACCTGTACATACTCTACCCCCCCCCCACCCCCCCATACTTGGTCTGACCCAATGACATGGTGGGTATGGTAAACAAACAATTGACACGCATGGTTAAAGTGCGTTCTCACCCACTTTGTCACACACCTCTTCCTCTTCCTCTTCCTCCTCCAGAGCCTCCTGGCTTCTCCTCCCCCTCAATGGCTCCAGTCCTCCCTCCAGTCCTTCCACTCGGTGGTCCTGGAGGAGCCGGTCTACTGGCTGGTGGCCCTGTCGGCCCGGGCCTGCCTCCGTGACTTCCTGTCCAGGGAGCTGCTCTCCTCCTCCTCCTCCTCCTCCGAGGAGCTCAGGGGGTCCGGGTCGGAGCTCAAAGCCAGCCTCCTCCTCCGGGAGTGGAGAGAAGACACTCGGACGGAGGTCACCTGGATACGCAGGTAACGATAACGTCAAGAAGAAGGTTTAACTCTAAAATGTGATGGCAGCTGTTTGAGATGAATAACTCAGCGGGGGAAGAAGTATTTAAATCGTTTACAGTAGTAGTACCAAACCTTCAGAAAATACTACAATACAAGTAGAAAAAATGTACTGAGAGTATCAAAAATACTCATTAGGCTGCAGAGGGCCGCTCTGCAGCCTAATGTATAATGGTGGAAGAAGTACTCAAAAGTATCAATACCACAGTGTACCAGTCCTGCAGTCCTGTAGTTAAACTGAACTTGTAATAAATTAAAGTATCGCAATACTGCTTTTTCCTCACACGCGTATAAAAAACATTATTTTTAATGTATTTCTAAATCCTCACCTTTAAATACTTCTTCCTTCTGTTCAAATGTTTCACTCTGAAATCCTCAAGAAAAAAATATTTCAAAAAAAGGGACTCTGGCGCTCAGAAACACTACCGCTTCTGTCCACAGGGGCCGCCAAACACAACACACACTTTTAAAGTGGAACTTTGAACACAACCCTTTTTACTTCAGGGTCTGAATACTTCTTCCACACTTCTTCAACCTTCTCCTCTGACTGTGTCACAGGTACAGGACGCTGATAGAGGAGCGGCAGCCTCACATGGACGTGTTTCAAGCCGTCGACATCTTCAGAGAACACATGATGAACCAGAAGAGCCTCTACAAGGCCGCGTAAGAACAAATCAACCCGTCTGTGGTTTCCTGTCCGTAACTCAATTACGTCCTCATTAAAGTGTGTGTGTGTGTGTGTGTGTGTGTGTGTGTGTGTGTGTGTGCACGCTGCAGAAACTGTGATGAAGAGGATAAAGCACGATGAAGAGGAGGCGGCGGCTGCTGATGAAGGTGAGTCAACACAATGCAAAAACATTCATTAAAAATACTCCCTCTTCTTCTTCTACCTCCTCTTCCTCCTCTACCTCTTCCTCCTCTTCCTCTATCTCAATCTGTATATTGTATGTATTTATAATAGTTTATCTGTATTTTATATGTATTTATAATAGTTTATCTGTATTTTATATGTATTTGTAATAGTTTATCTGTATATTTTATGTATTTGTAATAGTTTATCTGTATATTTTCTCCTCCAGGATGAAGGAATTATCTTCTACAAGTTCGTAGTTGCAGCACCTTATTCCAAAAATGTTGAATTAAAAGCACTTGTTCCGATGCCCCATAGGCTAAAATAAAACGTATAGATGTGTGTATTATTTGCTATATTTTTACTTCAGAAGATGTTACTATTCCTTTAACTTCACTATTTTAAATTAGACATGTGAATGTATCTCAGCTCAAACAACGATGTTGTATTTCACAATAATCAGTGGCTCTTAGTATTGTTAGCCGTTGTGATCTATCGTGTGAAACCGTTATAAATAAAGTTTTTGTTGATAACTTCCTGTTGAGTTCACACACAGTTTGTTCATAATAAAATGTTCATAAAGTTGATTTATATTCCTACATGTCATCACACAGACAGTAGTCTCTGTCTCCCCCTGCAGGCTGAAACTGGACACTGCACTCATACACAGTATATAAGATACACAACACTACTGCGATATTTGATCTGATACTACTATTGCTAGTATCCTACTCTGCTATTACTACTGCTAGCACTTCTTCTTAAACTCTACTACCAATACGTTTACTACCTCTATCACAACTTCAGTCAGTACTTCTAATAATGCAACTACTACAACTGTTCTTCAATACATGTACTACTACCTCTACAAATACTATCATTGTTTGTACACATATTACTACTCATAATAATGTATTAGAAGTAATAATAATAATCCTGATAATACTATAATGATAGTACCGTACTCTACTATTACTGCTACTACTACCACCAATACTTGTACTACCTATATCATAACTATCAGTACTTTTGCAACTGCTAAAATAACTGTACTTAGACATGTACTACTGCATCTACAAATACTGTTAATGCAGTACTGCTACTACTACTTCTTATACAACTACTTCTAGTATATATGGCTGTCTACTGGTTTCTACTGTCTGCCTGCTTGTTTCTACTGGCTGTCTACTGGTTTCTACTGACTCTATACTGGTTTCTACTGACTCTATACTGGTTTCTACTGTCTGTCTACTGCTGTCTACTGTCTGCTTGTTTGTACTGTCTATCTGCTTGTTTCTACTGACTGTCTACTGGTTTCTACTGTCTGTCTACTGCTGTCTACTGGCTGTCTATTGTTTTCTACTGTCTGTCTACTGTTTTCTGTCTGTCTCCTTGTTTCTACTGGCTGTCTACTGGTTTCTACTGACTGTCTACTGGTTTATACTGTCTGTCTACTGGTTTCTACTGTCYGCTTGTTTCTACTGTCTATCTGCTTGTTTCTACTGTCTATCTACTGGTTTCTACTGTCTGTCTACTGGTTTCTACTCACTTGTTCATTGCTGTCTACTGGTTTCTACTGTCTGTCTACCTGTTTCTACTGTTGTCTATTGTCTTTCTACTGGTTTCTACTGATCGTTCATTACATGTACTGTTAAACCTGAGTGTGTATCTGTTCATGTGTATCTGTATCACAAGAAAAGTCTGTGTGTGTGCGGGCTTTCGGTTCGCGAGCATGGGCGCGTGCGCCCGGGTTCACGCATGTCCTGCCCTTGTGCTATGATCCGGCGCGTGGACACAGACACACTACTGCATCTCTCTCTCTCTCTCTCTCTCTCACACACACACACACACAGACACACAGAAAGAGAAAGAGAGAGAGAGAGAGGAGGCGGAAACCTCCATCTGCCCTGTGCTCGGTGACCGACCCGTCATCCTCGGGCTCGGGGAAAAAGAAACGGATCATCTCCTCAAACCGTGAAGAAAGCGAGTGTGATAATGTGACAAGACAAGAAGAAGAAGAGGAAGGGGTGATTTCACCATGGAGGAGATCTATAATAGTCTATATATAGGCTATGCCCCGGACTGCACCACCACCACCACCTCCTCCTCCACCACCTGCCCTCCCGGTACCGGTAAGTCACGGAGGATAAAGATGAGAGATATGTCAGCCCCGTGCTAGCAACGGCCGGTTATCGATGCTAGCTGACCCGTGGAAATGACTTTTGAGGTCTTATGAGGTCGGGTTACCGTTCAGCCATGTTGCAGGAGAGCGCGAGAGAGAGCGAGGGAGGGGGGTAACTGCTGGGCTCGTGACACCTGCCCTCGTTCCCGGTAACTGAAAAAAAAAAAAATCCTTTACATTTTTTCTTCTTCTACTAAATAATCGGTAATAATCGGTACACGTGACAGCCCACACCGGGAGATGAGTTTGTGACTCGGTGGTTCGGGGTAGTCTTGAGGTGCCGTTCAGCCATGTTGGAGAGATGTAACTGTAGCTAACGGCTCCGGGGCTCCGGGGGGCTTTGACACCGACCGACCGACACCGATGGGGTGTTATGGAGAAACTGGTGCCCGGTCATTTTCGCTCCCCTGTGGCGCATGCGCATGCGGATGCGGTGGCGGCGGCAGCCCCGTACCGTGTCGCCTAGAGACAGGAGGCTGAACGAAACGGGGTCGACGAGGGTAACGGTTACCGGGGCGATGAACAAGCTGCCGGTTACATTCATTTAAAATACATTATTTAATTTAAAGGTATAACTTATTATTTTAATTGTATTTTAAGTTAATACAAAAATATTTAAATTTATATTATTTTATATATTTTGACATTTCCATATTTTATTTATTATTTTATTTCATTTAATTTTTAATTTTAAATATGTATTTTATCCTTTTATTGTTTAATATTTTACTGTCCCAATCTAACAGCACGAGACTAAATAATTAATAATTATATATTTTTTACAATTCATTTTTTGTTTTATATTCTATAAAAACAATTTTACCATATTGTTTAAAATATAATTAAACTATTTAATTTTATATTCATTCACATTTATTTTATGCATAAATATATTAAATAATTTTATTCTATATTTTTTTCTTTGGAGGTGTTATGTGGAATTATATACATATATAAATATATTCTTATATTATTATAATATATTATATTATATTATTATTATAATATATTATATATATAAAATATGTATACATATTAGTACTGAAGATGGAAAAACAAATTATATTTTATTTTTAATTTATCAAGGTGCAAAAAGTGACGAATACAACAGTATGGCGGCAGATTATTGATGGTTATTGATGGTTATTGATCATCATTACTGATGATTATTGATGATTAATGATGGTTATTGATGGTTATTGATGGTTATTGATCATCATTACTGATGATTATTGATGATTACTGATGATTATTGATGATTAATGATGGTTATTGATGGTTATTGATGGTTATTGATGGTTATTGATCATCATTACTGATGATTATTGATGATTACTGATGATTATTGATGGTTATTGATGGTTATTGATGGTTATTGATCATCATTACTGATGATTATTGATGGTTATTGATGGTTATTGATGGTTATTGATCATCATTACTGATGATTATTGATCATAGCTGATGATTGTTTGTTGGTGGGAAGGTCAGGAGTCGACACAGCAGGGGTCCGTTTCCATGGTGGTGATTTATCCCCTCATTATCGGGTCTTATCCATCCAATAATTTATTCATTCACAGATTCACTTTGTTCATATTACTTTTCTTCTTCTCCTCCCTTTATCTCTCCCTCCTCTTCTGTCCTCCCTCGCCATTCATCCTCCTCCTCTCTCCTCCTTCCTCTCCTTCCCCTCCTCTCTCTCTCTCTCCATCTTTCGCTCTCTTTCAGGTCAATGAGAGGCAGCAACTGTAAATCCTCCCTCGTTTTATCTCTCTCTCTCTCTCTCTCTCTCCTCTTCTCTCTATCATGCGCTCTTCACTTCCATATGTTAAAAAACACAGTCGTCTTATTTTAGCAACACTGCCTTCCTCCTCCTCTTCTTCCTCCTCTTCCTTCTCTCTTGCCCTCCTCTCTTCTGAGTTTTGACTCCCTCTCTTTTGACACACACACACACACACACTCTGGAAAATGAAACGTGGGTCGAGTGTGTTGCAGCCTCCCTCTGATGCAGCCAAACGACACACACACCCTGCAAACGGACAACGCACAAAGACACACACAGCCGGCGATGGCGCTCGCTCGCTGAGTGAGACGCAGGACGCCGTGCATGCCGCAGGTTCGAGTCCCTTCCCAGCAGCCACCTCTCTCTTCAGCCCGGATGTCGGCACCAAGATGGCGTCCGACCTCCTCATCAGGCTGTCAGGTAACACACTGTACACACATACACACACATGTAAACAAATACATGTTAGTACTACAGCACTGTAGCCGATTAATCAATCAGTAAACTGAAATTTGAACATGTAATTGATTGATCAAACACTTAAATCCTTGATAGTAATATGTGGATCCTTATAGTTCCTTATGTCCACGTACTGTTGGCCTTGTAGTGTGAAAGCTATTCTCTCTTGGTGAGTTGAGTGCAATCATCAGGCTGTAATGTGAACTCTGCTGTAATTCTATTTACAGTCAACGCCCTTCTTCCATCCCTCTCTGTCTCTTCAGAGGCGACCCAGAAGGCCCAGATGCATCCAGGGAGGCTAGCGGAGGCGGAGCCTCTGATGCGCGAGGCCCTGCCGGAGGTGCGCGGCGGGCAGCAGGACGAGCCGGGCCTCGCCCTCTCTCCGGACGGCCCCGGGGCCAGTCCTGAGCCGCCATCGCTCTCACACACACCCGACGGCAACGCTGCCACCGACACTCTGGCCTCGGACCTGCTGAGGAAACTGGCAGGTACAGCTGTGTGTGCGTGTGTGTGTATGTATATCCACCCATCCTTCCTTTTATCCATCCATCCATCATGCATCCATTCCATCAGTCTATCCATCCATCAGTCCATCCATCCAACCATCCAACCAACCAACCAACCAACCATCCATCCATCCATCCTTTCATCCAGTCAACCATCCATCCAACCAACCAATCAACCAACCAACCATCCATCCATCCATCCAACCAACCATCAGTCCATCCTTCCTTTCATCCAACCAACCAACCAACCAACCATCAGTCCATCCTTCCTTTCATCCATCAACCATCCTTCCATCCATCCATCCCTCCATCCAACCAACCAACCATCCATCCATCCATCCTTTCATACACCCATCCATCCAACCAACCATCCATCCTTCCATCCAACCAACCAACCATCCTTCCA